AAAAAAAAAAAATAACCGGAAGTGACATCGCTCCAGTCCTCCAAGGGCATAGAGATGAGTGGAGGCCATCTTTCCTTCACTCATCTCTATGCCCAGCGCCGGGTTCATTTGGTTTCTCAGGTAAGGCTGAGAACTACCGAATGGCGGCCTGTGGCAGCAGCAGCGGTCGAGGGGCGGGGTTAATTCGGCTCCTGTATCAGCGCTTTTTTTTTTTTTTTTCTTAAGGCCGAAAAGGGTGTTTTCGGCCACCAAAATTTCTGTGCCCTCCCTAGTTAGTTGGGTCAAATCAACGCTCGTTCTCGACCGAAATCGAAAAAAAAAAAAAAAAAAAAAAAAAAAACGAAATTTTAACTGTACAGCTCTTCCTTTTGGAGTAAAAAGTTGTACTTCTTGCAAGAAAACCTGTTCAGTACGTCTAAGGTTCCATTGAAATGGCAGGCCTGGATGACATTCTAAGAGCTTTAGAACTACATTTGTTGACTCGATTGTGGCAGGAAAGTGTGTTCCGACAAATACTTTTCAGAATTCCCATTCAAATGAAATTCTGCTGGTGTATGGTCAGCTTTACTCTGCTGCCTGGCCAGAGCGCTGAGGTTGGGAATCCTGGCCTTGAATAGGTTTTCCAAATTGGAATGTGAGTGATGGTATAAACATGCACGCCAGTCGCCCACCTTTCTGACCCTCTTCATAAATGCTTGCAATATATCTTTTGTCTGTGATGCACACACTGTGCGGCTTGCTCAGGGATAGTCACGGTTTAGATGCCTCACCTTCAGCATATCCTCCAATCACATGTGTAACTCAGGCATGTCATGTACTGCCATACGGAGGAAGGCTTCATGAACAAGGCCACACAGTCCTATAGAATACAGTACCGCCATATTTTCTACAGCCACTACCAGTCGGCCTGTACAAATCAATCGCGGGTGGTGGCTGTACTAGTATACGCCAATGTCTCTGTTCAGGGAGGCACATACATGGCTCTGTACACATGTGGCCATTCACATTCTCAAATGTATTGCAGGCCATACGTGGGTCAAATTCCAAACAAATTTTCTTTAGAAAATCAGAAATTTTTTGTGTGTTTTGTAATCCGGTGGTGCCACCATTGATTTCAAAATTCAACCCAGCCTTCAATTTCTCCTGTTTGCTACAGAAAACAATTTTTGTGGTCAAGAATTTTCTCTTCTTTCCAGCTTTATATTTCTTGCACGATTCTCCCATCATTGATTCCAAATTTCGTCCGTTTTTAAAAAATATGTCTATGTCCGATCATTCAAATTCAATGGTCACACGAAAATCGGTCATTTCTGTGACCCATTAATGGTGCAAAATTCGAACGAAAATTCTTAGAAAATAAAATAATTGGACCCGTGTATGTCTGGCTTATGTGTACACATGCTGCCTGCCATTGTTTTGTACTGGCTGATTGGCAGCAGCTGTACACTGCACTGATCTCTCCTGGCAGAGAAATGATGGATGCATTGTATGCGTTACAGCCATTTGCAGCATGAAGCCTTCTTATGGTGCTGTGCCCATACACCATTCCTGCCCAGAGTAGGTCACAGCACATGGACGAGGGAGTTTGCAGAACACATGGTAGGGGCTGTGATACATAAGGCCAGGGATAGGTCATAATTGCACTTAGTGTGCCTGGCTTCGATACTGGTGAAGTAGAAAAACTGAATTATTGTGAATATAAATATGCTAATACCAATATTCCCAAAAGTATACGTCACACAAATGTATTAAAAAAAAAACAAGTCCAAAAATAGATAAGAAATCAGATTAAAATAAATATAATATAAAAAGTCACTGTGTGCCAACTTCAATCCTCAATCATAAGGGATCCCTTATGATTAAGTCAGGTGATGAAACATGTCAAGGGAAGTGATGTCAGACGCATAGAGGAACCGGAAGCGGTCCGGCGGCCATTTTAGAATCTGGAAAAACCTTTCTAGAAGTTCATGTGGAGGAACCAGGGAACTCTGAGAGGTTTGTATATTCTGATCAAGGCTATTTTAAAGAGGAATCATGATGTTTCTTTGTGAGCCATTGAAAGGCTGAATATGAAGATTGAGGATTGAAGTTGGCACAGAGTGACTTTTTATATTATATTTATTTTAATCTTATTTCTTATCTATTTTTGGACTTTTTTTTTTTTTTAATACATTTGTGTGATATATACTTTTGGGAATATTGGTAATAGCATATTCAGTTTTTTACCCTTTTTGGGGGAAAGTGTATCTTTATGCTATTTATAGCCTTATTGTATTGAATTATTTAAGGGGTACTGTAAAATTCACATATATTATAAAACTGAATTAGTTGTGCTTTGTGTTGTGGATTTTCTGGACCTGTCAGACTTGTCCTGTAGAGTAATGGACAGGGAGGGTGTCTACTGTACTGTACAGAGTGCCATGTTGGACCAGTCCCTGTATTGAACAGAGATGCTGCATGTACATGTCTATTTCATAGCATGGAATGATCCTTTGCTTCTTTAGAGCAGCCTGTCTCAATCAGGGTGCCTTGAGGTTTCCTCAGGGGTGCCTTGGTAAATGTCTAAAAACTGCCCAAAACTTGTATACAAGCCAGTGAGTGGACAGGCCTGCCTTTTAGTTACACAAAGCCACAGGTTTTCATTGTGCACCATTACGACCTTCTAGCCGCCGGCCTCCTGACAACCAATGTCTAGTTTGACCCTCCCTTGGCCCTCTCCATCAATGTTGAGGTCCCATTTACTTCAGTGATGGATAAAAACTGAGGGGGAAGAGAAACATTGGAATACTAGTCAGTACCAGTGTGCAGAAGTGTGTTTGCTTTGGAAGAATAAATCCCCTCTAATGTTGGGTGTCCTACATGTGTGGATGTTGCTGCGTTTATATAAAACTATTAGAATAGTTTTTCACATTTTAGAATGGGGGTGCCTCAAGACTGTCCATTTTTAAAGGGTGTCTCGGGACTGTCCATTTTTAAAGGGTGTCTCGGGACTGTCCATTTTTAAAGGGTGTCTCGGGACTGTCCATTTTTAAAGGGTGTCTCGGGACTGTCCATTTTTAAAGGGTGTCTCGGGACTGTCCATTTTTAAAGGGTGTCTCGGGACTGTCCATTTTTAAAGGTTGTCTCGGGACTGTCCTTTTTTTAAAGGGTGTCTCGGGACTGTCCTTTTTTTAAAGGGTGTCTCGGGACTGTCCTTTTTTTAAAGGGTGTCTCGGGACTGTCCCTTTTTATAAAAGGTGTCTCGGGACCTTGTCCTTTTTTTAAAGGGTGTCTCGGGACTGTCCTTTTTTTAAAGGGTGTCTCGGGACTGTCCTTTTTTTAAAGGGTGTCTCGGGACTGTCCTTTTTTTAAAGGGTGTCTCTCGGGACTGTCCTTTTTTAAAGGGTGTCTCGGGACTGTCCATTTTTAAAGGGTGTCTCGGGACTGTCCATTTTTAAAGGGTGTCTCGGGACTGTCCATAATTGTAAAGGGTGCCTTGACTAAAAAAAGGTTGAGGAACACTGGTCTAGAGTTCAGTAAAGGTGACTCCAGAAACCCTTTGTCTAGCGTTTTTTAGTAGTTTGTTTTATTTGTAATAAATGATTAGTGTTCTGGTTGCTGGATTTGCTTCCCTCAGCACCTGATTATTATTCCTATAGAACAGTGCATCATTGTACGTGTGCTTGTCACCTTTACACAGAAGGCGGCTTTTCTGGAGTCTACACCACTATTACCTGTCTTTGAACAGCACCGTATCTCTGGAGCAAAGAGGGCTTGCAGCAGTTCACTAATTTTTATTTATTTCAGGTACTCCTATAGTCCCGTCAATTTACACAGCGCTTTATATATATATTGTACATTCACATCGGTCCCTAACCCTCAAGGGGTGTACAATCTAAAGTCCCTAACTCATACTTACACATAGTAGGGCCAATTCAGACAGGAGCCAATTAACCTACCAGCATGTCTTTGGAGTGTGGGAGGAAACCGGAGTACCCCCACAGGCACAGGGAGAGAACATGCAAACTCCAGGCAGGTGGTGCTGTGGTTGGGATTTGAACCGACGATTCTAGTACTGTCAGGCGGAAGTGCTAACCATTTAGCCACTGTGCTGCCCATAATGAAGCAACTATTAGGTAATGCTGCAATGTAATCACTGTGGATACAGCTCTGCTAAATAATTCTATACATGTAGAATTATGACTCCATACAACTTCAGTACAGCTGTCTGTAAAGGAGTGAAAAATGACAAATTCCACTGATTGTGCAGAAATGCCAAAACTGTCCAGTTATATGCTACTCGGGATCAAGGTGCTCTAGGACTGTCACATCAAATGGCCATCTCTGATGAATATTCCATCAGGAAAGTCCCTCAAATTATTATTTTTTTTTTTAATCTAGATCCCTTGAAATGCATTTTTGTTCCTTCCTGCTGTGAGCCACTTTTTTATCATGATATAATTTTTGACCTTTGGTCGTTTGATGCTCTTACTAGATTGTATATGCAGGGATTCTCAGTTCTGGGTTGCCGACATCTGCCGAACCAGAGATATTGTCGTCATTTCGACACACACCAAAGATTTGTATTCTTATTTTTCACCGTTTTAAGACCGCTCTATGACAGTGTGATCTTGGTTCACTTAAAGGAAACGCTGGCCAAATCCTAGATGTCGGATAACTAGTTGTAACCTTTTGTGAACCTTTTCTATTGTTGTTGGTAGCAGCACTTCTCTGCTACTTAAAACCTCCCTTAATTCCTAAATTGAGCAGATCGTTCCTACCCTTCATGTATGTGTGTAGCTCCCTCTTATGAGCCTGTCGGCCAACTTCTTTGCCAGCCTTTTCTGTGTTTTTCCTCCTGTAACTAGTTTCATCGTTTTATTAGAGGCTTGACTTTCTTGACTTGGTTTCTCTGACTTTTGAATATCTGTCTCACAATTGCTACATTTAAAATATGGTACTTACTAAGTAGTTACTATTTGCCATGTCTTATTTCAAACCCTGCTAATTTGTTTTTTGTTGTTTCTGTTTCAGGAGCTGGAGAATCTGGGAAAAGCACAATCGTGAAGCAAATGAGAATCCTTCATGTGAATGGATTTAATGCGGAGTAAGTTCATAAGCCAGTGGACTCCTCCTTTCTTTTTTTTCTTTTTTTTTTTTTTTTTTCTTTTTTTTCTTTTTTTCTTTACCACCTGCTTCTGTCCCTGTCCAAGAGAATATAATAATGGGTCTCGGTCATGCTGGCCATAGTTGCCATGAGCATGTAAGGTCATGTGAGTGATTGTATGTGCGTCTTTTTTTTTTTTTTTTTCTTCCTCCTTCTAAGTTGTGTCCCTCCTACCTTTTTTAATAGTCCAGACACCGGTGAAAGATTTAAAAAAAAAACTCCTCTCCCTCAATAGTTGTAGTTGACTGATTTGTACTAGATAGATATATGTATGCTCTGTTCCCTCCCTCTTTCTTCTCTGTATAGGCTATGATGTCCGTTACCATGATATGTAGAAGAGGGGATAATAGGGCTACAAAATTGATCAGGGTGTTGTAAGGAATCAAATTAGCTTTTTGTCTGAAGCCTGCAAATCCGAGATTACCATTTCTTACCAGTGGAATGTTCCCAAGCACAACCACTGCAGGCTGCTTGCTGTCTCGATGGCCACCAAGATTTAGGCTTCTTGCACACAAGGCGTTTGATTTTCTCCTCTGAATGCAAGAACTCCTGACAGGAGAAAAGTTGCTTCAAAAATGCTTCTTAATCCATGTATTGCACATGCGTTTTAGGAGCGCCAACTGGCCTTTTCTGCTCTTCGGTTCCTGTCCTCAATGTGCTTTTGATGGGTTTTTTTTTCCTGCCTATTAACACTCCTCTTCTAATACACCTATAAATGTCTGTGTGCATGTTAAAAATAGAATTGCACCGATTATGGTTTTTAAAAAAAAAAATTTACCGGCGAGTACAGGTACTGACACTTGTGCTCAAGTACTTGCTGATACAGATTCACCCTAGGTTCACATATGTGCGGGTGGTGCCGCTGTGGATCCCCATGAAAATCCGTGCAGCCGCCACCCACCACCCACACAGAGAAATGCGGACCCGCGGGTGGATTTCATTGGTTCTAATGGCACACCGCCCGCACTGGAAAACACAAACCGTACTGGGAAACGAGGTTCCCGTGTGGGCTGTGTTTTCCAAAGAAGTGCAGGGACTTCTTTCCCTGCGTGTCACGGGCATGGGAGTCCATTCAAATGAATGGGCTCTCGTGCCCGTGCAAAGCGCGGCTGCATAGATGTGAACTGGGGGTCACAAAGAATGGCATGTGATTTGAACAGGAATGTGGTGTGATTTCTGTGTGAATCTCATGCAGTTTCCCTGTGGGTGTGGTGTGATTTGAGCCATACTAAATGAATGGCTCAAGTTGCACTGCAGATCACTGTACCCACAGGGAAATCGCATGTGATTTGGAATCACACCACTAATTCAGCTGAAGTAGTGCAATTTCAGTTGCAGTTCTTTGCAGTGCGATTTGAGCCCATTTATTTTGCATGGGCTCAGATCGCACCACAAAGGTATCGGTTTCAGGTAATGAGCACAAGTACTCGTGCAAATGCTTCGTATCGGCACCGATACCGGGATCAATATCTGTGCAACCCTAGTTGTGAAAAGGAATGATAAAACATAGTCACTGCCATTTTTTTGTTGTGTTTTGTTTTTTTGTTTTTTTTTTTTGCTAGCTGTTTAACATTGCGATTTTATAGTTGGGGACCCGCAATTATTTTTTAATATCTTAAACACTTCAGATATCACTTTAGTGGTCATAGCCACAGTCTCCAGTTTTTAGATCTTCATTGCCTTGTCTAGTAATAGCCTGCCTTCATCTTTCATGAGGATAAAACTTACACTGTCCAAAACATAGGTGCCATCTCATGGAGACCGATCATCTTTTGTGTAGCTGCAGTTTGTGAAAGTTGTTACCAAATTTACCTGTAAAATGTTCAGCCCATTACCAGAGACTAGTCTGTTTGTTTTCTTTTTTTCTGCTCCAGTGCATGGAGCTTTTAGAGTACAAGCAAAGTAACACCCAAGGTAACATGAAGAGCTTGGAGCACCTTTTTAGTAATGGGCCCTCTTCACCCTTGCCCACTGATGATGCCCTCTCCCTGTCTTTGCTAAAGAGCCTTCAGATTGCCAGTGTGTTTGGTCATTAGGCAAAGCTGAGGGTGTATTGTATTCGGCCAAACTGCTCTTGATGATGAAGAACCATCAACTCCAGTTTTCCAAGCACATGATAGTTTACAACAGGTCGTACATCACAACATTCTTACCCTTCCCCTGCAGTTTTTGGGCACAAGAGTATTTTGGTAGTTTTCAAAAAAGTATCCTAGGCTGGAGATTTTAAAAGCAGTTTTATAACCTTTTACCACCACCTGTTTTTAGGTTTTGGGCGTGTTTGGAGTGTACCTGGCGTTCAGCTTTAGCTTGGGTGTCTTTTACACTTTCCTTTTTGGCATTTTATTTTTCATGTGTCCGTTATGATGATGCATCATTGAGGTGACCAATAGTATAGTTCACTTCTCACTGACTCCCAGTAGTGTTAGTGGCTGCGGGTCACAGGAGTGCACTTATTTTTGCTTTCTTGTGACCCAGCATCAACAGCGCCAGGCTTTGGGAGAATCCAGACTATTATGTCGGGATCCACTCAGATGCCTGATTGGCAGGTATCTGACCTTGTCAGTGTGCCACTGAGAGTCGGAGCCTTCTACTTCCATCCCCTCTCCAGTGGACCAAGAACTGTGCAATCAGTGGTCATGTGATCGCTGAGTTCTTGGGCTTAGAGCCAGCAGGGGACAGCTGCAGCATGGAGATGGGAAAGGGGGGGGGGGGGGCGGTGTTTTTTTTGTTTGTTTGTTTTTTCCTGCATTCCTATACGTTAAAACAAGGTGTGCACAGACAAATTTTCTGAGGGTTTGATTTCTGAAATCAGCTTAATGGAATTTTAGCTGGCCCCTCCAATATCTTGCATCTTTAAGGAGCTAAACTAGAAACGAATTTCGTTTAGACCAGAGATCTTCCAGAGCGGCAGGTAAGTGCTTATTGCACACCTGTGAGGTCTATTTTTATCTCGTCCAGGTTGACGTACAGGATGTTGCATTGAGGTTGGACTTTGTTTTCTGGCTCTGCCTGAGAAACACTGTAAACGCCTTGACGCTGCCGGGCCTAGATCAGTGTTTTCTGGAAGATGGTCCTGATAAGCTGTCATAGTTGTGTTGTGTCAGTATGCTGGCTGGCTTCGTAGCATGAAGAATCTGCTTCCTAGCAACACCCATAATCTACCCCACTCTTCCTCTACCTGCTCACTTTGTGTATTTAAAGACTGGTTTCTGCTGGGTAATCTTCTGATTGTGCAGAGTTTTCAGCACTATTTTGGTTAAGAGCAGAGCAAAAGAATTAATCGCAAGCAGTGCGACTTTAGACGGTGCTTCTGAAAAACACATGCTAGTAAAGTCTACTGGGTAATGCCTCATTGCACCTGAATGCCACATCGTATGGCTTCTGAAAATGCTAGCTGCCTGGTTCCTGCCATTGGTTCCTTCTGAAAATGCTAGCTGCCTGGTTCCTGCCATTGGTTCCTTCTGAAAATGCTAGCTGCCTGGTTCCTGCCATTGGTTCCTTCTGAAAATGCTAGCTGCCTGGTTCCTTCTGAAAATGCTAGCTGCCTGGTTCCTTCTGAAAATGCTAGCTGCCTGGTTCCTTCTGAAAATGCTAGCTGCCTGGTTCCTTCTGAAAATGCTAGCTGCCTGGTTCCTTCTGAAAATGCTAGCTGCCTGGTTCCTTCTGAAAATGCTAGCTGCCTGGTTCCTTCTGAAAATGCTAGCTGCCTGGTTCCTGCCATTGCCTTCTGAAAATGCTAGCTGCCTGGTTCCTTCTGAAAATGCTAGCTGCCTGGTTCCTGCCATTGGTGCCTTCTGAAAATGCTAGCTGCCTGGTTGTCCTGCTGTTCAAGTGGTTTTAATATTTTCCAAGATAGCATTTCCAAAAGTAAATCTCCAGTGGCAGTCTCCATAACTCGTATAGGCATTTTGTAAATCTTGGAGCTGCTCTCACAACACCTTTTTACCTGTGGACAGGGCATCTTAATACTGCTAGGCCTCATCCAAGTATGCCTGGTGGTTTGAGAAGCTTGTAGAGCGCTGGGAAAGTGACAGTTCTGTTCAGGATAAATTCTGGTTAGTAGATGAGTTAATCAGAAAAGTACTATATACAAATACTTAGTCCCTATTTATCTATGTACACCAGAACATGCAAAAAATCACAGAAGTGTACAAAAACAAGTGTTTCTATTGTAGGGGCATTCATTCTTGGTGGCACCCCAACAGCTTGTTAATGCATGCACCACTTCATTCTTCCTTTTCCTTTCTTCCTAAAACAATATCCTTTCTCCTTTTGAAAAATGAATCTTATGAAGCATTGCCAGATCTGTCTACTTGCACCTATAACTGGTCACTTCTGTGGATCTCACATGCTGACGAGAAGCTGCCATCCCTGAGCTGCTGAAACCTTTAGTTTTCCACAGGTCGTACTCCGGTATGTGTGTGTGTGTATATGTATGTGTGTGTGTGTGTGTGTATATATATATATATATATGTATATATGTGTGTATATGTATATGTATATGTATGTGTGTGTGTGTATATGTATATGTGTATATATATGTATATATATATGTGTGTGTGTGTGTGTGTGTGTATGTATATATATATTTGAGGTGAATTATTAAAATTCCTGGGAGTGAAGCTTTCACTCTCCCTTATCACAAAATAATGTAATTTTAACCTCCGATTTTTCTTTTCTGGTGAGGCACCAGTCTTCTATCATGGACACCAAACCTGGACAGCAGATGTTGGCATTCAAGTCATGGTGTGCCTGTGTGCTGGATTTGTGCTTTACTGCCATGCAGCATAATAATTTGATGTAAGGACTACTTGCTGTAAGTCAAGGTGAATATTGAAGCAAGGCAGTGGGGGGGATATCATTGACAGCCAAGCAGTTAGCATTTTTAGATGAGGTCAGCAGTGGTGGTCTGTTTTTTCATAACAAGTTTACTTTAACCG